GTCGCGTGCGCATAATCGCTCTCGGATACCGTTTCACCAGTCAACAAACTGTAAAATGATTCGCGCGGAGGTAGGCAAGTCTCCCAGAGCTTGTCGACGCTGTCGACATACTCGTAGGGAAACACACCTTTGCGCGTAAGAAGATTGAAATTTTCCGCGGATAAATAACTAAATTCGGAACGTGAAATTTTTAATTCATCTATTGTTAGATAAGATGCTAATTTTTCAAGACTGGTACCGAGAAATCTAAACGAACTATAAAACGTAATTTGACACAAATTTTGGAATTTTGATCCTCCGTATCTTTAACATTTTTTGTAAAAGAAATGTATCGCTCTTTTGTCAGCGGCAGTAAATCAATGTTACCTTCAAAGGCATTAGCAACATCTTTAATAATAAAATGCGCGTCATAACTGGATAAATTGTGAAATATTACGGGGATAACGTGGAAATTTTTGTAATTTAGATTGCACGACGAGTGCGCGGGACCTCGGTAACGCCTGGTCAGATGGCAATGATCGCGCCCCCGCGTATCTTTCGGTGCAAATGGTTTTTCATACACGTGGCAATTAACAGCGCTATGGAATTTTTCCGATTCCTTCCGCATAAGATCCGCCATGGAGACGACGGTGGTAAGAATTGCTTTCACACGGCGCGCCAAATCATGGAGTTTGTTGACGAACCATGCTATGCAATCTTCACCGCGATAAGACTTAAAACTAGATAACGAATTATCGTATGTACAACTTACATAATATCCTACGCTAAACGCCTTGTGATGTTGGTAGGCATAGGTTGTATGATTCTGTCCCTCCTTCTTCTCGAGCGTGCATTCCAGATCGGCGTACACTACAAACGGGAGCTCCTTCCGGTTGTAGTTGCAGAACGTCAGCCACTTGTTGTCTTCGTTGGGAAGAATGACAGCGCAGTTGTTCATCTTCCCACAGTCGACGCTGTGGACTGACAATTTCTCGCTCGTCCGAAAGTAGTGTAGACACCTGTAATAGTTTGTATAATTAATACTGCGAATAAAGTATTGAATTATTCTATAAATGTGTTTTTACTTACCGATTACAAATGTACTTTTTGCCATTTCGCTTGCTCAGTTGTGTGCTTACCAGTCGAGACAAGTTTTTAATCAACACAAAATGTGCCTCACTGTTTCCAGGCACGTAGAGCAGGTTGACATGCTTTTCTTTTTTGTCATCGGTGAGGCGCAGTGGAATGATCAAGCGGCCTTCGGTTGTGAATACGTTTACGGAGATGGTGTTCAATTTTTCAAATTTTGAGATTTGCGGATGCGTCATGGGGAACTCGATACCACACAAATTCAGTACCGTCGAATAGTGTGGGTATTCGATTGTTCTGTAAGATTTATCTCGTCGGTTTCAATATCGATTTGAAACTGTAATAATTTTAAATAAAGAATAATATCTTAACATTCTGCAACTGACTAATTTTTAAACGATAGGACGGTTACGTCCTATATCCGACCTTATTTATTGTATATAAAATTGCTTCGACAAAAGTTATTGAATATCAAGAGCGACAGTATTAATCAAATAGAATCGACACTGCTTTTAATTTGAACACTAACTTTTAATTCAATTATGATATAAGAACTATTACAATGTTCGACTTTGCCAAAATCTAAGTCTTAATACATGACAAAATTCACCGACTGTCTCTCTAATTAATTTCTTCTTGCGACCTGTTTTTTCGACTCGACGTTAGAGAGTGATTTTCCATTTACAATTCCTTATTAAGTCGCCTCTTCCAAACATTCTAGAAAAGAGGAGCAAATTCTATGTTTCTATAAAAATATGGGGCGGGAGCGCGCCCGCGCAAAATCGATAGTCTTATGCGAGGTGCTGATCGAAATTTAGGCTGCCGTCAGTTGGCGCCGTCTATCGATCGATTCCTTCGTCATCTTTCAGTTTTTTCAGAGTTTTTCCGCTGGATGTAAAGCGGCGACGAAAAACATGCCCACGCAAAACATGCATTGTTCGTCGATTGCACGTTGACCACCGCCCGTTTGAGTAAAATTTTTCACGGTAACTTGATGTGGCATCCCGCATGTAGAGGATTGAATTTGTTGACGTTGATGGTGAGGTCCAAGATACGTGACAACGCCCATCCGCTGTCGCGTTCTTGAAATTCCTCCAGAGACGTCAGGATGGCGTCAACCACATGCTTCGTGTACCACTCGTTTAGATTTAGGTGTTGGAAATAGCTCACGGTTTTTTGTGGCGATGGTCTTTACGGCAGTTTTGTCACCTGCGATAAATTCCCCGTTGAACATGGAGTTGATCTTGACCATGTTCCACCATGACGCTGTGGATCCGCTCAATGATTGTACTTCTTATTTATTCCAAAAATTGACGAGGTTCGATATAGTCCGAATTAATAACTGCACCGGTTAATATACCGTTTTTGAAGGCCGTCTCGATTTCTTTCCAGGTCAATCCTTTCTTCGCTCTATATCCAGCACCGATGGGCACGAATCGCTCATGCAGGGTGTTTCTTACACCCTCCAGACGTGTTATTTGCGCCACCAAAAAATTTATTAGTCCGGTGCGTTGTTTCTTGCGACATTTTTCCCTCAATATATTGAGGTACTCGTCGCACTCGTAGTCCCATGGGAGGAACTCTCCCAACGTTTTAATGTTTGCAGCTCGAACAGTGAGATCACGCTCCGTCTCCATTTTGAACAACTGCGGTAATTTGTATTTTTTGCTAGCTTTTTATACCCGCTTGTTGCACACAACACTAATTAAAAAATGCTGAGTAAAACATTAAAATCTGGTAACAATGGCGCTTAAAATGTTGACGTGGCAGCCTGTTGCTATGGACTTTTGCACATAATGTTATTAAAAGTGCTGATTAAATATAAAGAAATCTGGCAACAATGGCGTCAAAAAATGCTGACGTGGCTGCCTGTTGCTATGGGCTTTTGCACACGGTGCTATTAAAAGTGCTGATTAAATATAAAGAAATCTGGCAACAATGGTGTTAAAAATGCTGACGTGGCTGTTGCTAAAAATAGTGATGATATCATTCTTGTAACAACGCAAAATGGTGCTCAAAATGCTGACGGCACAAAATGGCGCCTGCAGATTCTAACAAAAGTGATGACGTAATCCGTAAAATATGTGGTCCCCTCCAATCCCTTGTAATCTTATACTCACATCGCAAAAGTGTTGATGCTGCGCTTTTACAACTGTAAACGTGTGTATATAGGAGGATTAACTGGAATTATATTATCTAATTTATCAATTGATATTGTTCTTCATGACACTTATTATGTAGTAGCACATTTTCATTATGTTTTATCTATAGAAGCAGTTTTTGCAATTATTGCTAGATTTATCCATTGATTTCCTCTAATTTCAGGATTTTCTATAAATAATTATTATCTTAATATTCAATTTTGATCAATATTTATTGGAGTTAACTTTTTTTCTGTAAACATGTGTAACCTGATACCCCTCCCCTCCAAAGTATTGTAATCTGATACCCCCTTCCCTTAAAGTGCTGTAATTTGATACCTCCTCCTCTCCAAAAGTGCTGATGCAGCGTAATCCGATAACCTCCTCCCCTCCAAAAGTGCTGACGAAGTGTAATCGGATGCCCCCTTCCCCTCAAAAGTGCTGACGCAGCGTAATCGGATACCCCCCTCCTCTTTAAAGTGCTGACGCAGCATAATCCAATACCCCCCTCCCTTTCAAAAGTACTGACGCAGCGTAATCCGATACCCCCCTTCCCTCCAAAAGTGCTGACGCAGTGTAATTTGATACCCCCTCTTCCCCTCTTTCCCCGCACCCCCCTCATTGCTCCTGGGTTAGAACTTTCCTAGCTATACTACTCTAATTCACTAATCGCCACAAATACGTCCACACCGATATGTTTGGTTCGTTGATTTTTCACGAACTGCTTGCAAACAGCAACCAAACAAATAAAAAAAATATTAATTGATCAACTGTTAACGAACAGCCTGCGAGCTGCTCGCAAACAAACGTCCACATAAAAAAAGAGAACAGTTTGCGATCTGTTCGTAAACTGTTCACGAACTCTGGTGAAGACACACCTTAAAATTTCTTATATTTTAGTTGCTACAAACCCCCGAAAAGTCGACTTTGTGCGCACAGGATAAGAGACTTAGTAGTGTCATTTTCTGAACTTTGCCAGAGATACTTTTCCTGACTTAGTAGTGTCATTTTTTGAACTTGGCCGGAGACACTACCGCGTCTCCTAATACTCGAATACTTTTATGGAATCATTTTAATCAAATTTTTATTTTTTGAAAAGTAGACCTTTAAGCTTGAAAAATATACTTTAAGTAGTATTATAATGGAAAAGAAGCATAACAAAATTTACCAAATACTGCAGTAGCAATTTTTATAGCAGAAAAATCCCGTTTCTTTTTCTTCCCGCAACCACTAAACTGTATGGAAATAGCCTTTTTCATAATCAGTTTTGTAACGATGCAGCATGCATCGTCACGGCTACGGACCGAACATCGTCCGTAGCCAAAAAGGGCGCATCGAACGCCGATAAATTAGGGCCACTTTTTCCAACGTCGGTTAAGCCTAACCGTCCGTTAACTTTTCAGAATAGCCAACTTCGAAACTTGTAACTAAAATACACGTCATCGATTCTAACTGATCCTAACCTGTAATCTTTTAGCACGGTGACGGCACGTTAAATACACAATAAAAAGAAAGTGATATAAAAGTGAAAGAGTATATAAATATATTAACAATTAAAAATAGATAACAATGCAACGATCAAGAAACTTCACAACTAGTGAATAAAAATAGTTTATTAGACATTTATTTTTATATCGACACATAATAGAAAATAAAGAATGCAATAATAATATAATTTTAAAAAAAGATGAAACGTGGGCAAATGTTACAAAGGAATTTAATGCACGTAATACGATACAACGAACAGAAAAAAATTTAAAATATTTATGGGATAATATAAAAAAGAAACAAGAAAATATTGCGCTACATTTAAGCGAGAAATTTATAAAACAGGTATAAATGTTATATCGTGCCTTTTATGTCAAAACCACGAATGTGCAAATTTTAATCTCATTTTTCTTTGTAACATTTATTTTGTATTATTTGATTTTGTATTTACAAAGCTTCAGAACTAAGTATTTAAAATATCCTAGGATATTTAAAATATCCTCTGAAGCTCCTAGCTTTGTAAATACCTTATCAAGTAGTATAAAATAAATTTCACAAAGAGATTAAAGAAAATTTGCACATTTATGATTTTGGTATAAGAGGGACGATATGTATATTAATATAATTAATGGTATTATATTATTATATTAATGTTAAAATTAGAAAAGTATTATACTTTGTTATCGAATTTGTAGGTGGAGGTGTGTCTAATTTAGAAAAAAATATGTTATATGAACGAGCTAAAGAAATTATGGGGGAAACAGCAACAAATGGATTATTAAATCCCTATGATTCAGATTTCATTTATAATAAAGAAAACATTATAACAGTTGATGATATTTTACAAGATACAAATGATGAAAGCAATTCAACTGAAGTATTTACAGTAAATTCATAACTCAATAATACAAAGTTATTAACAAAATATAAATATATAATATTTAACACAAAACATTTAAAATTTTTAGCATTTAATAAAGAATAAAGAAATTAATGATTGGACAATTTGGAATAGCAAGAAATTAAAATCACAAATAAGTTTTCCGTTACAAAATAAAGAAGAGGATATACCAACAACATCAACATGTACTATTGGTAAAAAAAGGAAGCATGATGAAATCAGCCAGTGCAATAAGATTTCAAAACTAAAAAATACTGAAATAGCATGTAATAAAAAAGCTAATATAGAAGAAAAAGAAATGTACGAAATGGAAACGTTAAAGAACAAATTAGAAACAGAAAAATTAAAAGTAGAATTATTAAAATTATCTATAGAAAAAGAAAAAATATTAATAGAAAAAGAAAAACTGATAAAACAAAAAATTGAGGAACAAGAGGTAATATCTTTAGAATAATATGAAAATAAACTTTTAGTTTATAGTTTACAATATTTTTATTGATTAGTTTTTTTTTTACTCGAATTTTACTCGATAAGATTGAATTTTTTATTTCTATTAAGTTTCTTTGAAGAGATAATCTTCTGTACCTGAAATATGTTTGTTTTGTTCATTGAATTTAAAAGTTGAATTTATTTAATTTCTTATTTAAAACATATTTTTAGTTTATATTATCAGAGTTTGATAAACCAGATTATTAAATACGACAAATGCATTATATTAAAAAAATAATATAAAGGTGCTGTATTTTTTATTGTATTTAATGTTATTACTATTATAAATACATCTAAAATGTCATTATTTTTTGTAAAAGGTTATTAATAATAACAATTTCTTTCTTTAAGTTGATAATCTGTTTTTATTTATTTATATTTAAAAAATTAATAAAATATATTATTGTTGCCTTTAATGTTTTTTTGAAGTTTCTTTGACATGCTTCAAAGTAACCTGCAATTATTAAATTTGTAGATACATAATTTCATATTATATCTTATTTGTAATAATTTCATATATATATATAATATATATAATTCATTTCAATATTACCTTTTAAAATATTCTAAAATTAATTTTTCTCGTTCATTATTATTATTTCTAGAATTTAAATCAGCGTTTTGTATTTGTATAATAGTATTATCACATTGTTCAGAATTACTAATTAAGTTTGAATTATGTTCCTGTTGGGCAATATTATGCAAAACGGCTGTTGCTATTATAATAGGAAATGTATTTTCAACTGTGCGACATCGCATTCCAATTGATAAAATAGCAAATCTTCTTTTCCAAATGCCAAAACATCTTTCAATTCTTGTACGTGTTCGAATTTGAGCTTCATTATATAAATGTTCTTCTGGTGTTGTGGGATGTAACAACGGTGTCATTAAATATGGTAGATTTGGATACCCAGAATCTGCAAGAAGTAAACTGTCACCAAATGTATGTGCATCAAATAAGGTTTTAATTCTAGAATGATTAAAAATTGTAGAATCATGTGTTGATCCTGGCCAACGTGCTACAATATCAATTATTTCTAATTTGGCATTTATTATGACTTGCACATTTATAGAAAAAAAGCCTTTTCTATTGCGATATAATTCGCAATTTTCTCCTCCTAAAATACAAATATATTATTTGTTAATTACAAATATATAATTTTGTAAGCTAAGAATAAGTTCAAGTATTACATACCAAATGATTCCACTTTAATATGTGTGCAATCCATACAACCAATAACACGAATAAATTTGGCTACTTTGAAAAATTTTTGTTCATTTTCTCGAATTTCCTCAGATAAAAGAGGTAATTTTATAAAATCGTTTCGTAATGCAGCAATCTCAGGAGATACTCTATGAATAATTTTGTGAGCGCTTGTTTCACTAATTCCACAAAAATCAGCAGCTGTTATTAAAAAGCATCCAGTTGCATAAAATCTGAGTGCAACCAATAATTGAATGACTGGTGGAATAGCAGCATTACTGAAATAACACATAAAATGATATTAAAATATTGTTCATAGAAACGTAATTGTGTACACTTCTTTTTGGAAAATTTATTTTATACTACTTGGTTTTGTATTTATAAATATTATTATTTATACCGATTAGTATTATATTGTATTTTATTTTCGATTTTTTGTAATAACATTTCAAAACTTTTTTTTGATATTACAAATCTTCTTTGAAAATCTTTTTCTTCACAAATATTAAAATAATTGTTGCGTAATTTTATAATATGTAATTTTTTGAAATTTTTTTATTTAAATTATCACACTCATCACTTTCATCATTATAAAAATTGTCATATTCCGAAAACCAATTATCATTAATAATATCCATGACAGCAGCTCAACAGTTGTTTAGGTTATGAGAGAAATTTTC